ACCTTTGCATTCCTAGAATAAACTCCTTTTGGTCGTGACATAGTATTCTTTTTAAATATTGCTGAATTCGCTAAAAATTTGGTAGGATTTTTGTGTCTGTGTTTAGAAGAAAGAATGACTCGTATCCTTTCTTGTATTGTCCTTATCAGGTTATGATATCATTGCAGAGTGTCCCAAAAGTCTCCATACAAAGGAAAAATGTTGTAATGAATATTTTCTAAATAAAGTACATTTAGCTACAATTTCCCATTTTCTGTATGTATGGTGACTTTTGGTACACCCTGTATTTTATTTATCTCATAAAACAGTTGGAAAATGTTTCATATTTGTTCTCTGGAAGAATTTCTATAAGATTAATGCTATTTTTCCCTTTATTGGAAGAATTCAAATAATCCTTTGTGGGAGGAACTTTAATTATAGATTATTTTTAATATCATAGAATAGGTCTGTATCAATTTTATATTTTTCAGTTTTGCTTAGTTGTGTTTTGCAAGAAATTATGCTTACTCTAAATTGTCAAAATCATTGGCATGAAATTATTCATAATCTCTTATTAATGTATGAAGCCTCATCTCTTAATATCACATTACTATTCTTATCTGTTCTGTATTCTTGGTATTGCTAGATTCTTTTGCCTCTTTTTATCCTTGATTAGTCATACTAGAATCATACTAATTTTAATCTTTTGGAAAAAAAATAACTGATTTGTTCAGCTTCTAAGTTGTTCTGTTAGATATGCGTACTTAGATGATTGATTTTCAATCTTCATTTCTAATACACACTTTTAAATGTATAGATTTTAATGTTTTAATGTAAGCACAGCTTTGTCTACATTCATAGTTTTGGAATTTCTTTTCCCTGTATCATTGAATTCAAAATGCTTTCAGTTTCTTTTTGATTGATGGGTTACTTGAATCACATTGCTTGATTTTCGTACAATGGAGGATTTTTTAGTTATTTTATAATTGTTTAGCTTAATGCTAGACACAGAATATACTTTGAATACTTTTAGTTCTTTGATATTTATTGAATCTTGTTCTTAACTCAGCATATGACCAATATTAGAAAATAGTTTGTGTGCATTTGCAATGATTGTGTGTTATCGTATTGGGTATAGTGTCGATTTCTATTAATATGTTACTCAAATTGAGTTTTTTAATTGTGCTGTTCAGATCTTCTATGTGGCACCAAAAGTTAGAAGGATATACTCAAGTATACTCAGAATGTTATCCCATACCACACTCCCCATTCCTGCCCCTTCCATCTAGGTCCTATCTCCCCCATGTGTAACCAGTATCACTGGTCTCCCATTTCTATTTTGTGGGGTTATTTTGCACATATGAGCAGATAAATTTATATTTTCTTATTTCTCCTTTTATTTTATTCAGACGATATACTATGGCTATCCTTTGTACTTTAGGTTTTGAACTTAATGTGTTCTAGAAATCAAACTTAATTTATAGAGATTTTGTATTTTATTTTTCTCCCAACAGATTCATAGTACGGCATTATGGGAATGTATCATAGTTTATTCAGTTACTGTCCCATGTATGGGCAGTTTAGGCATTTCCCAATACTTTGCAAGGCTGTAGTGAATAACCTTATGCACATGTATTTTCATATTGTTGTAAGTAATGTCTTAGCTCAGGCTGCTATAATAAAATATATAAACTAGGTGGCTTATAAACAATAGAAACTTCTCACAGTTCTGGAGGATGGAAGTCCTAGATCAGAGTGTCAGCATGGTTGAGTTCTGGTGAGAGCCCTCTTCTAGGTTGCAGACTGCTCACTTAAATCCTCCAGCGTATCACTGGAGAGCAGAGAGGAAGAGAAACACAGACACTCACATGCATATACAGAAAACAAATAAACACACACATATAAGAAAAACAGAGGAAAATAAACACTTATGAACAACAACAGAATAAATTACTCTCAGACACACACACAGAACACACACCACAATGTGATACTATAAAAGAGAGGAGAGGAGAGAGGGAAGGGTTATCATGTGAAATAATGGGAGGACAACATTACAAGTCATATGAAACAATTTTACAACATAAATACCAGAAGAACACACATGAGACAGAGAGATCAGAGGAGAGACAAAAGAATATGTAGAGCGATGCCAAAATTCCCTTCCATAAAGAGCTGTACCAATTTGTATTCCCACCCAGTGATGTATGAGTGTGGCCTCATTAAACCATACACACCTATGCCGACAGACAAAAGATAATAAGACTATTTGTTTTTTGAAATATCATTTGACAGTTTATATGTTTACATTTTAATTGGGTAATCCCATTAATATAAATCACCATTATAGTAACTACACAAAGTGTACAATAAGTATTTATAATTATAGTATATAATCACAAGATTATATTGACCGAGATTCAGAAACATTTCATCACGCCCAACAGAAACTCCTTACCTGTTAGCAGTTATTCCAACTCTACGCCTTCTATTATGTATCTCATAGTGCATATTCTAGAACATTCCATGTAAGAGATTAATCATATATTGTTGCTTTTATGTCTGTCGTGTTTGACTTAGTGTAATGTTTCTGAGGTTTATTCATATGGTAGCATGTGTCAGTACTTCCTTTTTGTGAAACAATATTTCATTGTTAGGTATACTACATTTTGTTTATCCATTCACCCATAAATGGACATTTGGATTTATTTTCACTTTTTTACTATTATGAATAATGCTGCTGTGAACATTTACATGCAAGTTTTTATTTGGATGTGTATTTTTAGTTTTCTTGGACATATACCTAGGAGTGAAATTGTTGGGTCATATGGAAACTCTGTGTTTAAACCTTTTGAGGGGCCGAGCGCCGGTGGCTCACGCCTGTAATCCTAGCACTCTGGGAGGCCGAGGCAGGTGGATTGCTAGAGGTCAGGAGTTCGAAACCAGCCTGAGCAAGAGTGAGATCCCATCTCTACTATAAATAGAAAGAAATTAATTGGCCAACTAATATATATAGAAAAAATTAGCCAGGCATGGTGGCGCATACCTGTAGTCCCAGCTACTCGGGAGGCTGAGGCAGTAGGATCGCTTGAGCCCAGGAGTTTGAGGTTGCTGTGAGCTAGGCTGACGCCACGGCACTCACTCTAGCCTGGGCAACAGAGTGAGACCCTGTCTCTAAAACTAAAAAAAATAAATGAAAAAAAACCTTTTGAGGAACTTCCAAACCTTTTCTGTAGCCATGGCACCATTTCACATTCCTACCAGTAATGTAGTAGTTCCAATTTCTCTACATCCTTGCCAATACTTCATATATATTTTTAATGGATCGTTTGTTATATCTTTTGCCCATTTTTCTGTCTTCCTCATTTCAAGAGAGTTTCTGTATATACTAAGGGTATTAGCTTTTTTCTGTGATACACGGTACATCTATTCTCTTCCGTTTTGTTGTGTTTTGACTTGGTTTATGGGTTTTTTTTTTTCCTTTTTGCTATGCTGCCATACCTGTTCATCTTTTCTTTTGCCAGACAGAGGACATTGTGTATAAAAAAATATTTGTGCTTTGATGCCATTTTTCTCTACAGAGGGTTGACCCTTTGCTGGGCAGGTAGGGTGAAGCCTGGTCACTAAATCCCATCCGTGATGGATCTGAGCAGAAACTGTGCTCCAGGTTTACAAGGCTCTCTCTCTGCTTCTTCACCCATGTGTTCTTGCTGTGAGCCTTGGAATGTTCTGAGAATTCCTGGTGATTCCCGAAGTTCAATTCCTGTTTGCTAAGCCCTCTCTACCTTTGACTATGTTTCAGAGGCTCCCTCTCACGTCAGGTTCAGAATTCAGTAACTGTCTAAGGAGATAAGCAGCAAAGTGTTTGACTCAGTCTCTACACTGGAATCTTGGGCCCATCATGGTCATGATTTGGCCTCTGGCTGCCAAAAGCTCTGCTGGTTTCTCTCTAATGAGTAGTCTTTTCTTGGCTCTTCAGGCTCTTGAGGGCTCAATGTTGGCACACACCTTGTGGGAAAAGACAGCTATTAAGTATTATTTCCTGCTTCCATCTGTGTCACTCATATGTCTCTGTCTTAAGCCCTTGAAACATTGTTTGGGCTTTAAAAATTTTTTATTCTGGCTTGAGGCCAGGAGTTGGAGACCAGCCTGAGAAAAGAGCAAGACCCTGCCTCTACAAAAAATAGAAAATCAGTCAGGCGTCGTAGTACGCACCTTTAATCCCAGCTTCTCTGGAGGCTGAGGCAGGAGGATGGCTTGAGCCCAGGAATTTGAGGTTGCAGTGAGCTATGATGATGCCATTGCACACTAAACCAAGTGACAGAGCGAGACCTTGTCTCAAAAATAAGTAAATAAATAAATTTAATCTGGATTTCCTGACTTTTCTTAGTGGGAGTTCTAGTCTCAAGCTATTCCTTCATACTGCAATGGAAGTCCTCTGTTGCACTGTTAAAAATTTAATTGTTTATGCTTTTTTGATTTATTTTCTGTATCTGTTTCTCCTGTTAAACAGTGACTTGACTAAGCAGGAAGACCTTGTTTTAATTGTAGTGTTTTTAATCACCAATGCCTAGTATATATAATGACTACTCATTGAATTTTTCTTACATGCAGAAGGAACTTATCTCTTAGGTAGAAGTTTTCAAAAGTAGGCAACAAATTAACAAATTTGGCTTTGCTATGAGATTTACCCACAGTGTAAAGGCTGTAGTAAGAAAAGAGGTGGGGGTGTTAAGTTACCTTGTTTATGAATAATACTGAATTTTTGACTTAGCTGAAATAGAAGTCCTAGCCTTTTAATAATTTGTTTAATAAATATTCTATAAGTCAAGTACTGCTCTGGGTGTAGCGGACACAGCGATTATTTTGGTAGATATCTCTATTTTCCTTAAGCTCTTTATGCATGTAACATACCATGGAGAGAGAATACAGAACAGTGGGTTAATATAAATATCAACATACCACATTGTAATTGGTATATTCAAATATTGTACACTGAAAATTTTTTTTTGTCTTAACAGAATATGACAGATACCTAGCATCAAGCAAAATAATGGCAGCTGCTTACCTTGACCCAAACCTGAATCACACACCAAATTCAAGTACTAAGACTCACCTGGGTACTGGCATGGAACGTTCCCCTGGTGCAATGGAGCGAGTATTAAAGGTCTTTCATTATTTTGAAAGCAATAGTGAGCCAACCACGTGGGCAAGTATTATCAGGCATGGAGATGCTACTGATGTCAGGGTAAGTACCTTTTCCTATGAGACATCTTTAGTGTATAAAGATGTTTATTTGGTTAATATGTGACCAGAGTTGTAACTGTTATAAAATTTCTTAGGAAAATAACAACTGAATCATATTTTAGTCATATAATGCCATTGACTTGTTCTTCCCTCCTAATTTATTTTTTTAAACTCTTGGAAGATTACAAGGAAACAAAGCAATTAAAATAGTCTCTAATACTTATGAAATAATAAAATAATTTTCTATGAAGTATAATTTTAGAGGTATATGAATAACTCCAGATTAGAATAACTTCTTTAAAAACTGTTGAATGTATGCTGTATACCAGACACTAGGTTCTGGGGATGTAAAAGGTCCCTTTAAGACTTTTGGTCTTACAGCTTTGGGCCTGTAGGGAAAGAGACATTCGTGCGTGGTCTTAATTACAGTATAGTGCAGAAAGCCCCACACTGGAGGTTGTACCAAGAGTTATGAAAGCCTGGAGGAATAAAACCTGAGATGTAGGAGTTAGCTCTGGAAAGGGTTTCTTTTTGGGTTTTGGAGGAGGCAGTAAGAGTTAGTGATACGGAATTCTGGGAGAAGGGCGTGTGTGAAGGTAGCATTGTCATTTCAGAAAGCTGAGTTCCATATTTAAATTTTCAGGAAGTGTTTGCTCTGATGAAGTGTTAAGGAAACACCTCCTCCTTCTTAGCTCCCTTCGCTTAACTCTATGTTCATCTTAACGGAGAAGCATCCAGTGTCTAGGAAGTTTAGATATGCCTTGTTTTTCTTTTTTTTTTTGAAATATCATTTGACAGTTTATATGTTTACATTTTATTGAGGTAAAATTCCCATAATATAAAATTCACCATTTTAACTACTTCAAAGTGTACAATTAAGTATATTTTTAGTATATTCACAATGTTGTATAATTGGCACCGCTGTCTAATTTCAGAACATTTCCATCATCCCCAACAGAAACTCCTTACCTGTTAGCAGTTATTCCCAACTCTACCCTTCTATTTTATGTATCTATTGGTTTGCATATTCTAGACATTCCATGTAAGGGATAATCAATACTATTTTGTTATGTCTGTCGTGTTGACTTAGTGTAATGTTTCTGAGGTTTATTCATAGGTAGCATGTGTCAGTACTTCCTTTTTTGTGAACAATTTCATTGTAGGTATACTACATTTTGTTATCCATTCACCCATAAATGGACATTTGGATTTATTTTCACTTTTTACTATTATGAATAATGCTGCTTGAACATTACATGCAAGTTTTATTTGGATGTTATTTTTAGTTTCTTGGACATATACCTAGGAGTGAATTGTTGGGTCATATGGAAACTCTGTGTTAAACCTTTTGAGGCCGAGCGCCGGTGGCTCACGCCTGTAACCTAGCACTCGGGAGGCGAGGCAGGTGGATGCTAGAGGTCAGGAGTTCGAACCAGCCTGAGCAAGAGTGAGATCCCATCTCTACTATAAATAGAAAGAATTAATTGGCAACTAATATATATAGAAAAATTAGCCAGGCATGGTGGCGCATACCTGTAGTCCAAGCTACTGGGGGCTGAGGCAGAGGATCGCTTGAGCCCAGGAGTTTGAGGTTGCTGTGAGCTAGGCTGACGCCACGGCACTCACTCTAGGCCGGGCAACAGAGTGAGACCTGTCTCTAAAACTAAAAAAATAAATGAAAAAACCTTTTGAGGAACTCCAAACCTTCTGTAGCCATGCACCATTTCACATTCTACCAGTAATGTTAGTTCCAACTCACATCCTTGCCAATACTTCATACATATTTTTAATTCGTTTGTTATATCTTTTGCCCATTTTCGCTTCCTCATTCAAGAGAGTTTCTGTATATACTAAGGGATAGCTTTTTTCTTGGATACACGGGACATCGTATTCCTGTCGTTTTTGGTGTTGACTTGGGTTATGGGTTTTTTTTCTTTTTGCTATGCTGCCATACCTGTTCATTCTTCTTTTGCCAGAGAGAGGCATTGTGTAAAAAAAAATTGTCTGGGAAGCCAGCTCTCTGTAACTCATATAAGAGCACTAATCCCATTCATAAGGATCATAATCCCTTATGACCTCATCTAATCCAAATTACCTCTCAAAGACACCCCCCCCCCCACCTTGTGATACTATAACATTGGGGAGAGGGTATCAACATGTGAATTTTGGGAGGACACAAATACTGGGTCCATATAACAGCATATTTTCAGCATAAATTCCTAGAAGCAGCATTGCTGGGTCAGTAGGTAAAGGCATATGTAGTTTTATTAGGCGTTGCCAAATTCCCCTTCATAAAGACTGTACCAATTTGTATTCCCACCAGTGATGTATGAGTGTGCCTCTTTCCTCACACCCTTGCCAACAGACAAAGTAATGCTATTTGTTTTTTTTTTTTTTTTTTTTTTACTTTGTTACATGGACAGATACTAACACATATTTCCATCCTTAATGATTCTCCTTATAGTAATTAATCCATTTAAAGTCTGTTAATATTATAATTTTACACAGGTAATAAAAATTATATATAATTCATATGTAATATTTTAGCTTTAAATCTAAATTCTACTAATCCCTTTACTTTGCTAAAAAATAGTAAAGGCAAATAAGAGTAACGAATTAACTTCATTATTGTAAAAAGAAAAACAAGCCGGGCGCTGTGGCTCACGCCTGTAATCCTAGCTCTTGGGAGGCCGAGGTGGGCGGATTGCTCAAGGTCAGGAGTTCAAAACCAGCCTGAGCAAGAGCAAGACCCCGTCTCTACTATAAAAATAGAAAGAAATTAATTGGCCAACTGATATATATATAAAAAATTAGCCGGGCATGGTGGCGCATGCCTGTAGTCCCAGCTACTCGGGAGGCTGAGGCAGAAGGAATCACTCAAGCCCAGGAGTTTGAGTGTGAGGATTATAGAAATCACTCTAGTGACAACAAAACGAGATCTTCCAAAGAGAAAAAACATATCTAAGACACTGGATGCTTCTCATTAAGATGAACATAGAGTTAAGCGAAGGAGCTAAGAAGGAGGAGGTGTTTCCTTAACACTTCATCAGAGCAAACACTTCCTGAAAATTTAAATATGGAACTCAGCTTTCTGAAATGACAATGCTACCTTCACACACGCCCTTCTCCCAGAATTCCGTATCACTAACTCTTACTGCCTCCTCCAAACCCAAAAAGAAACCCTTTCCAGAGCTAACTCCTACATCTCAGGTTTTATTCCTCCAGGCTTTCATAACTCTTGGTACAACCTCCAGTGTGGGGCTTTCTGCACTATACTGTAATTAAGACCACGCACGAATGTCTCTTTCCCTACAGGCCCAAAGCTGTAAGACCAAAAGTCTTAAGGGACCTTTTACATCCCAGAACCTAGTGTCTGGTATACAGCATACATTCAACAGTTTTTAAAGAAGTTATTCTAATCTGGAGTTATTCATATACCTCTAAAATTATACTTCATAGAAAAATTATTTTATTATTTCATAAGTATTAGAGACTATTTTAATTGCTTTGTTTCCTTGTAATCTTCCAAGAGTTTAAAAAAAATTAGGAGGGAAGAACAAGTCAATGGCATTATATGACTAAAATATGATTCAGTTGTTATTTTCCTAAGAAATTTTATAACAGTTACAACTCTGGTCACATATTAACAAATAAACATCTTATACACTAAAGATGTCTCATAGGAAAAGGTACTTACCCTGACATCAGTAGCATCTCCATGCCTGATAATACTTGCCCACGTGGTTGGCTCACTATTGCTTTCAAAATAATGAAAGACCTTTAATACTCGCTCCATTGCACCAGGGGAACGTTCCATGCCAGTACCCAGGTGAGTCTAGTATTGAATTTGGTGTGTGATTCAGGTTTGGTCAAGGTAAGCAGCTGCCATTATTTTGCTAGATGCTAGGTATCTGTCATATTCTGTTAAGACAAAAAAAAATTTTCAGTGTAACAATATTTGAATATACCAATTACAATGTGGTATGTTGATATTTATATTAATTAACCCACTGTTCTGTATTCTCTCTCCATGGTATGTTACATGCAGAAAGAGCTTAAGGAAAATAGAGATATCTACCAAAATAATCGCTGTGTCCGCTACACCCAGAGCAGTACTTGACTTATAGAAATATTTATTAAACAAATTATTAAAAGGCTAGGACTTCTATTTCAGCTAAGTCAAAAATTCAGTATTATTCATAAACAAGGTAACTTAACACCCCACCTCTTTTCTTACTACAGCCTTTACACTGTGGGTAAATCTCATAGCAAAGCCAAATTTGTTAATTGTTGCCTACTTTTGAAAACTTCTACCTAAGAGATAATTCCTTCTGCATGTAAGAAAAATTCAATGAGTAGTCATTATATATATTAGGCATTGGTGATTAAAAAACTACAATTAAAACAAGGTCTTCCTGCTTAGTCAAGTCACTGTTTAAACAGGAGAAACAGATACAGAAAATAATCAAAAAAGCATAAACAATTAATTTTTAACAGTGCAACAGAGGACTTCCCATTGCAGTATGAAGGAATAGCTTGAGACTAGAACTCCCACTAAGAAAAGTCAAGGAAATCCAGATTAAATTTATTACAGTATGTAGTAGTTCAATTCTCTACGCTAGATCTTGCCAATCACTTCAATATTATATATACAACTACTGAACTACATATTTTTTTTTTTTTGAGACGAGTCTCGTTTGTTGCCGCAGGCAGAGTGAGTCGCGTGGCGTCAGCCTAGCTCACAGCCAACCTCCAAACCCTCCTGGCTCGGGGGAGAATCCTTCTGGCCTCAGCCCCGCGAGAGCTGGGACTACAGGCCATGCGCCACCATGCGCGGGCTAATTTTTTTTTTTTATATAGCATATAGTTGGCCTTATTTCTTTTTATTTATAGTAGACGGGGTCTCGCTCTTGCTGCAGGCTGGTTTTGAAGCTCCTGACGCTTGAGCAATCGCGGCCGCTCCGCCTCCCCAGAGAGCTATGGATTACAGGCGTGAGCCCA